GTCATTATTTTTAAATCATCATTTTTCTTTGAAAAGGGACACTTGATCTAACTGTAATTGTGGTAATGTCGTACAGCTTCAAAATATCCTCAGTTTTTTGTGCAAGTCTGTGCTATATTAGACATGAGGGGGAAAGTCAAGATTTTTCTAAATAGGAGACTTAATAGTACTTTATTCATAAAATCTTTGAAATTTATTTAACATTATTTGGAATAAATTGATACTGTCATATAATAGAAGGCATTATAGAATTGAATTGTTGAACAGTAACTACTACACATGAAGAAAAACCTTTCAGAGTTACCTGTGTGAACATCTGTGTAAAATTTTGTTGAGACATGAATAAAATGAAACTTTTGAAAGAACATATTTTTAATTGAATTTTTTTTAAATAACAGTAATTGTTAACTATGTAGGCTGATACCGAAATGTACAAGATAGTTGACCTTCTAAAAATATATGTAAAGAAAAATAGGGAATTTTCTGGAAAATATCTACTGGCTATTTGTTAAACAGTTTATTCCTTCCTTGGTATTTGAAATTAATCTGAATGATTTGCCTGCCCAAAAAGGAATTTAAAACCAAACACTGGATTCAATTCTGCAATGGAAAAAATAAACCCATAAATATGAAACTATTTGCCTTGAAATAGAGTCTTTTTTCGTTTTTTTTAGAGTATCTAATTAAAGCCTCCTTCTGGATGTTTTTCTCCAATAATTTAAAGGCCTAATATAGTTAATTACTAAAATGCACTCTAGTTGAATGTGCTTGTATTCATAAACTCAAAATTAAGAAATGTATGACTTTTTAAGTGCCTTTTTCAATAGAATCTTTCTCTTGGCTGTTTAGTTGCATTTTTGTTCTTTCCTAAAACTGCTAATTTTAATATAACTCTAAACTACATGCACAACCTGAGGATCAAGTTATCTGGTTTAGAAGTTTTTCATTAAAAATGATACTTTCTTCAAGATAGGAAACTGAATAATTTTAAGACTATGCTTCAATGATGACAAACAATTTGGTTAATTTTATTAGTTAAAAGTTTGATTTATCATTACCTCAGAGTTGGTTTATATTATATGAAACAAACTAAATGTATTTTGAACTAAATTACTTGATATTTTAAATAAAGACAAAAGCAGTATTACAACAATTTATGGCGCTAGTTTTTGTGTATAAAGTCTATATACAGTCCTGCCCAGATTTACCTTACTAATGGAAGAAATCAGAAGCAAATATAATTCTCTCACTTCGCTATATAGTAGAAACTAACACAACATTGTAAAACAACTATGCCCCAATTAAAAACAAAAGAAGCAAATATAATTCTTTAAGGTTGATTATAGTGACAAATGATTTATCAAAGGAAAAATGGGGAACTACTGTCGGAAGCCAGGACTGCCAATGCAGAGCTAAGTAAGAAAAATGGCACCCTTCTTTAATTGGGAAACTATAGGCTAGCTTCACAGTTGCCTTACTTCCCTTCTGTACATCCTGTTTGCCATTTCAAAAGGAAAAATAATATAGGAACTAAAGCAATTTCAAAATTAGTCTGAAATACATATTAAACATGTAAAAATAATTTAAAGTGAAACTAAATAACTAAGAGACCATCGAGACCAATAACTAGATAATACAATCTAAAAATAACAAAAAATTACAAAGGGCTCTGGAATACTGTCGGTAACATATATTATATACACACACAGAGACACACGAATACAGTCACTCCTTAATATCATCTAGTTTGGTACTATGGTCAATTGGGAATCAAAGGGAGAAAAAGAAGCAGTGAATTATAAGGTAAAACAAAATCCACTCAAGGTTGACAATAGTGAAGAACAGATGTTTGCTCTACTTTGTGAAACTGTAAAAGGGTGAAGGAGCAAATACGGACAGTAATGTTCTTTACCAAAGAAGCACATTGCTCCCCTTGATTCACCACATCATTCATCACAGATCACCAGGGCATGAATTAACTGGAGTATCAGAAGAGCTGTTCATCGGTTTTGATGAGCAAGGGGAAGAATTCAGACTGAATAGAAGCTGACATGTTATATATTTACCTGCTAATAATTTTAAACCATTAACTCTCTGTGGTTAATGAAACTGTAGCCTCTGGGCAAAAGCTAAACATGAAACCATAAAATTATCACATTGAGCAACATCACAGGTTTTCTTTTCATAAATAACCACTTGGCAAACTTAAACTTTTCCTACATCTTGAAGGCCCTGGGCGTGCTTTAAGAATCACCCAGAGGCAAACAAACACTAATGAATTCTTTTTTCTTATTCTCAAGGGGAAAGTCACTTGTGCAAAGACAACAGATAAAGGAATGGGAAGTCTAGAAGCCAGGAAAGTTCCACCTTGAGGTGACTTTGAAAGCACATAAGCTTTAAAAAAACAAGCAAAAAAACAAAGCACAAAAACTCTTAAAGATCTTAAACGGTACTGTTTTTTATGCAAATACTGTAACTGAATCATCTTCTTCTTTTGAAGGAACAATATTCTTCAAGAGAAGGCCACTCTATCAAAGCCAGGAGCACAGTATCCCCAGGATATCAACAACGAGGTGCAGACCAAGGTTGCTTCTGATTCACTGCAACCTTGTATAATTCCAGGCTTGCAGCCCCAGATTCGGGACCCCACCCTTCCAGGAGCAAATCATTATAAGTTGCCTTCAACTTCCATAAACCAGCTAAGCATGTTTAACTACGAACGTCCAAAACACTTCATCCAATCCCAAAACCCATGTGGCTCCAGACTGCAGCCTCCTGGACCGGAAACCTCCAGCTACTCTAGCCAGACCAAACAGTCTTCTATTATAATCCAGCCCCGCCAGTGCAAAGAGCAAAGATATTCTGCCTCCTCAACAGTGAGCTCTCACATCACTATGTCCTCCTCTGCTTTCCCTGGTTCTCCTCAGCAGCTTGCTGGCTCCAACCCAGGCCAAAGGGTTACAGCCACTTATAACCAGTCCCCAGCCAACTTCCTCAGCTCCATATTACCATCACAGCCTGATTACAATAGCAGTAACATCCCTTCCACTGTGGACTCCAAGTAAGTGAATTTTTAAAATATATATAGAGAGACAGACAGATAGACCTGTGTATACCGTGAGCTTGTATCTGGGGGAGAAGGGGAGATAGGTTATGTACGTCATTCTTCACTATCTAAAAAGTCAATGTGATATCAGAGTCTCATTCCGTATTTCTCCTAGAACACCTTAAACCAGGGTACTGGCAATAAGTCATCTGACCCATTCTCCACTGTCCAGGTTGAGCTGAACCCAAATCACCTATTACATAACACAATTACTTACCTACTATTTTCCATCTTCAAAAAAAATATTTCTAACATACCCAGGAACAGTGAACTATTCCCCCACCTCTAAGTTACGTTCCTCATGCTGTAAATTTAATTGCTCTGGTTCTGAGCTTAGCTGAGGTGAACACCTGTCTGCTCTTCTTCAGATAGGATTTCCTCTCACATAAGCAGAGGCTATTAAGTTTCTTCTCAGTCTTAGTCTTTTCTTCCTATCCATTTTCCCCTCTGATCCTGAACAACCACTTGGCTAAAAAGAAAATATAGGATTCAAACACTGAAGTATATGAATTTTCCCTATGATCAGAAGGAAGGACTGAATAGGTAAAGGCTCATGATCTTAAGGTTTCCTCTGGCAATTAAAACTACACTTTGTTCAAATTGGTTAGACCAACCTAAATACAGGGAAGAATAACTGAAGCCTTATGCAAGCATGTACTATTTCCACAGCCCTAAAACTGTCCTAGGAGAACCTGATATGAAGAAGGACAAAGTGGTTGTGCTTTTTTTAAAACATGAACTGAATACTTTGTGCTTATGCAAACTCTGGGCTATCAGTTTTCCTATTCCTTGGCTGGCTAGAACATCAGAGAATTAATCAGAGGCATCTGAAAAACTGTGTGATGAAATATATTTTGTTGGTTACAGACTTATCAACAGATTTGCTGAAATTCTTGCTAATTTCTCTCAGTTTTCTCTAGAGGCTAATTTTTCTAGAGATTCCTATTTTTGGTGACAACTCTGGAAACCTAGGTGAACTCACCAGAGCAATTCAACTTGCAAAGAAACCTTTTCAATATTTTTAAAAATAAAAACGAGGAAAGCCAAAAACATTTGTTAGAATCCTATAGATACTAGGTTGAACCATTTGAAATGGCTGATAGTTAAAAATTTTTGACTGACAAAAAAGGCATTCTCATAGGTTTGGCCTAATGATTTTAAAAGATGCCTTCAAGAATTAAGAGCCCGCTCTTTCTCTTCTATCTCAAATTCCCATTATACCCATTATCACATATTGTAGATTTTTCTTACTTACATTTTACCCATATAATCTTTTTCCATCTAGCTTTCAATTATTTACAAATTTCCTGTATAAGCATGTTTAAATCTAAAATAACTCTTTCTCACTAAAATATTCTTTTTCTTAGTAAAGGCTCTAATCCTATTCCAAATTCCTGCCCAGAAAAAAAGCCACCAAATAAATACTAGTGAGCCTCAACCATGTACCTAGCTCTCTGCACAGAACTAAGAGAGGAAGGAAGGAAAAAATAGAGAGGATAAGAAATAAAGCACAGAAGGACCCCAAACCAGAGATCAAAGATCCAGCTTTAGCTGCTCCATTTTCAGCAACCATAGATAACTCTTTTAATCTTCCCACAGCCACTTGATACCAGTTCAGTGTCCAGCTGCACAGGTGGAAAGCTCTGGCCCTTTGAACATTTGTGCACAACTCCCTCATTTTTATGATGGGCTGAAGTTTGCCCTGTCTTCTATAATAATCCCTTGGATTCTGACCTAGAGAGGTTTGAAAGCTTTATTTAGCTTTTCATCAGTAGAAAACCCTTAAGCAAATGTTTTATTCAGTTTATCAAACCACAGACTAGAAATTCAGGGGAACTCTTTAACTATTCCTTTCAAAAAGCTTGCTGTGTGACATTCCTCAAGTTTTCCTTACCTGCTCAGTGATTCAGTTTTCTGATCTGTAATAAAAGTAAGGATTTAGGTGATTAATGATAGGGGGAGAAAAAAAAACCTATAAAGCATTGTGCAAGTATAATATTAGTTTCTAATTATGAACAGATATCAAGTCCTAACACTTAAACCATCTAAACTGGTAATAATGCAGGTATTCAGTAAATAAAAAGGTGACTGAGATTACATATATATCAGTGATTCTCAGGCTTGGTTTTGATAGTCCTTCAGGATTTCTCAGATATATTACATCATATTATGACAGTCTGACAAAAGAATTATTTAATGCTAATTCACTTTAACCAAACACATATGACTGGTTTTTTTTTTTAGCTGGAAAAACAAAAAAACAAATGGGCTATTCTAACTTCATACAGTTGGAGACATAGTAGGTCTATAAAACCAAAGAAATTTTACCACTTTGACCTGGGAATTCAATCTTAAAACAAAACAAAAACATCTCACTATTTATTTAAACACTTGGTTTGGCTATTTGCTTCACTGAACAAATCAGATACAGACAATGCTGAATATCTGAAATACAAGGAGGGAAAATGTATATAATCAACTTTCAATACAGAGCATCTTGAATACAATGGAAAATATTCATTCACTGAACTGATAGTGAGTATTACCTCACTACTTTGCAGGCTTTGTGTTAGTGGATACAAATAATACAACGGTGAGTAATAAAACATCTTTTTTTTCTTCAGTGTATTTACAATCTAGAGATTACTAACCAAGACCCCAAAACCTGCAAAAGTTAAAACTCTGGCTCCACTCAGAGGAAATGCATTTCCACTTAGCTTACAAGTTCTTTTAATGATCCCTGCGAATTTTTGAACAGGGACATGTCAGAGAACAGACCAAGGCTGCCTCATCTGGATATCTGGATTTATTATGATAATGGTAAAATATTCATTGAGGGCAGTGGCCAGTTTTCCCACATTAAATAGATATAAGCTAGCACCTTCAGAGTCCTAAATAAATAAACTAGGTAAAATCTGAATAAACCCTGTGAAAAGTGTGAGCTACCTAACAGATCTAAAAATATAGGACTCCCTAAATACCACCCCTGTCCTCTATCGGAATCAGCAGGGGAACACCAGGAGGGGGCAAGGACATCTTGGAAGAAAATTTACGGTTGGAATTTGAAATAAGGATTTAAACCAAACTCTTCAACTGCCGATCAAATTTACTTTTTTTTCCCAAAACTCCTTTTTTTCTCAGTTTACATTTCTTTCTCCTTCCTCCTCTAATCATCCCTTTCTCTAAAAATCACTTATGCAATGTTGAAGAAACTGTTATTACTGTACAAGTTGTTATATAGTGCCATACTTGGATTGTCTAGAATATGAATAGGAAGTAGAAATTAAAATGTAAACTGTAGACTCCATTCAAAGCAAGAGAATATTCACTAAATACCCGTGGTTATGCTGATAAATGTTTAACAATCAGCTCTGGAGGAAAGAGCCATGATTTGTGGTATTTACCAATTTCCCTGGTGTAGATACTTCCACCACCACCAATTTCAAACTTTGAGCATGAGATCACAGTGAGCTGGGAAGAGACACTAAAAATCAGTTCTCTTAAGCCCATATGAGTCAGCTCCAGCACATTGCTGCTTACTATCCACCCATAAATCAAACTCAGGAAATTCAGTTGGAATATTGGAAGAACTCTCAAGCTGCCAGTAACTAGACTTACTCTCACTTCTTTAGGGAAGATCTTCAAGGAAGGACATTCTCCTTATGTCTAATCTAAGTTGCTCCTCCTGCTACTTAATTTTCATTTGCCAAGATGAAAAGAAACAAAAACAAAAATAAAAAACAGCTAGTAACCATTCTTATAAAATCCTTCTTGACTGTTATTAGGGCAATTGGTGTTTTAATAACACCAGCAGTACTAAATGGTAAATTCAACCTACCTAAACGTGACTGACAAAATGATGCCAATTCTATTTTACATACCACACCTTACTTTAAAGATCTTCTTTTTAAAAAATCTTTTTTTCTTTTTAAAGCTATCAACAACCCTCAGTTGGCCAACCTGTAAATGCTAAGCCATCCCAAAATGCAAATACTAAGCCCACACCAAGGACTCCTGACCATGAAATACAAGGATCAAAAGAAGCTCTGATTCAAGATTTGGAGAGAAAGCTAAAATGCAAGGACAACCTTCTTCATAATGGAAACCAAGTGAGCAAGATGTCTATTTTGTATTAAAAAAAAAAAGCCAATAAAACTATAAAATCTAATCTCAATAAGAATGTTGTTTCTGTCTCACAGATCTATGTCCATATAATCAGCAAGGGAGAGGAGTATCTAAAAAAAGGGAATATTTGGATCCTATTCTGTACTTCTCTGCATGAAATCCCCTCTAGGAGTTCAGTAGTAAAAGAATGAAGCAAATGAAAAAAAAAAAAAAAAACCCAATCTGAATGATTCAATTTTGTTTTAAGCATTACCATAAAAATACGTCTGATGACCAAATAACTAATGGGAAATGCTGTCAACGTGACTTCTTCATGTACTTTGGTATATATTATTGATGGAAAAATAGCTATAATTCTTATTATACACATTGTATTAGTCACTGATCTCTGATAGAGTACTACTATATGCCTTTAATCCAAATACATTTAACATACGAGTTGCACTGCTCTTAACCAGAAGTTAGTAAATCAAATATAGTGTTCACTTAATAAAAGTTATTTCTGAATCTGAGGACATACGGTACTATATTCAAAGACAGAGCCAACAGGAACATGCAGAACAAGGAGGAAGACAAAGAATTTCCCTTTATTGGGGAGAGAGAGCCTTATTTAAGGGTGATTATGCTTGCCTTTACTAGGAGAAGAAAGAAAACAGACATGAATATTACAGATGAGGGAAGTGGCACTAGAACGAAAGGAAAATGCTTTGAATGAAAGAATGTTTTTTTATAAACATAGTATCTATCATTCAATAGGCATAACTATACTTCTTTGGTATAATTCTTGGTGGTTTTAAGGTAAAGCTATACAAATAACTTTTATTAAATCTCATTACTATCTCCTTTATGATTTATTTCTTTAAAGCGGCTAACATATGAGGAGAAGATGGCTCGCAGATTGCTAGGACCACAGAATGCAGCTGCTGTGTTTCAAGCTCAAAATGACAGTGAGGCACAAGATCCAGCACAGGTAAATTAAAATAATCTTTATCTAACTGGAGCACTTTTCTTTTGTGTGATTTTTAAATATCTGCTTTTCTAAATGCTTATAAATAGCATTTGAAGCAAAAGTCAATTACTTCCATACTCCATTACATATAAAAAGTAGAGGCCATGATGGGTTGAATATATACACAAAAATTTTTAATTTTACCCCATTTTCTGGTGGTTCTAGTATCTGCATATGAAATGTTATAAAGTCAAAACACCAGAAGACTAATGGTGTCACTTTTCATCTGGACATTTAGGGGTCAGTTAAACCAAGGACTCTCCCTACAATGTCTACATGGACAGAAAATTTATGAGTTGTAAATCTTTCACAGGACAAAAGTTAAAACTCTAAACCAAAGTAATTATAACCTTTTCTCATAAGCTGTTTATCATTTCAATGTTTTAAAATAAACTCATGTACTAACGAAACATCCAATTTCTTCTGTCATGTTCCTGTATCTTAAAATGATTCTTATTAAAAACAAAACAAAATAAACAACAAAAACCTTATGAGTAATGGCTCCAGGATTAAGAACAGCATCCTTTCCAAGGGATTAACTTTATCCAGAACATAAAGTGAATATCCCACAGGCTTGTTCCTGATCACCTTCATTTTAACAAGTTAACCTCAAAGAGAAGTGTACAGCTAGAGAGGCAAAATGAACTGCTATTGCTCTTCTATCTTCCTTCTATAGTTACCTCTCATTCCTTCCTAAAAACTCCACAAGAAACTGGAAGCCAAACCGAGCATTCAAGAATTCCAACCTTCTACAGTATAGGAAGATGAAAATAAGACTTTTGTTTCTGTTAAATGTGACTAGATCTACTGAAAAGGATAGAGCAGGGTCTAGCACAGCAAGTAACTAGAACCTGAGAACAGAACTTAACTCTCTTTCGGCTACTGAGGAGTTCACACACTCATTTATTCAACTAATTTATATGAAGTACCTACTGTGTGTTGGGCTCTGGAGTTGGTACAGGAGATTACAGCAAGAATAAGACACAAATATATCTCTATTAGAAGAAATAACCCAAAGTAACATTAGATTGATGATGGTTTATGTTATAAATTCACAGTGTATGATTTCAAGGTCAAGGGTGTATTGTTTTTCTCATTCATTCTTTAAAAACTTTAAAATGAAGGTGAAGGTACCAAGAAAAGAGCAGCAAAACATATTATGAAATCAGAAAAGAAAAATCTTACGTTTTTTGGTACACTTCAAACAGTCTACTTAAATAATACAAAATGTCATCAAATTACATATAACTGAAATATCACACCTATGAATATAAATACATACATGTTCAAACCACTACAGGAAAAGGTCAAAAACTTAATTTAGATATTATGAGTTTAAGTGGATTATTCTTATTTTTTACCAAAAAATTCACTGATCTTTTGACATTTGGCTTAGAGAAACTCAAAGCCCAGCCAAAAATTATTACAGAGTTGTAAGAATTTTGTTTTAGAATGACAAAATACATCAAAGTTCATCCCAAAATAAATTATTTGTGCTGATTTGCTATGTTGTTTTTCATATACTTGGGTAAGGACTATATTTTCTACTTCTTTGTATCTCTCACTATACCAAGCACAATGAAATATACGGAATAGGCACTAAATATTTAATCAGTTAATTCTATTATAAATTCATCAATTCCTGATTTTATCCTCAAATATGAATAATTTTCTGGTGCTCAGATATAAATTCTAAAAGATGACTGCTTAAATTAAATACACCCTTATTAGGCAGGAAGTAAGTAATGTTGTTTTTCAAAGGCTTTTCATAACTCTACACATAGC